TTGATAATATCCGTACAGTTTGATGCAGAATCGACATTATTCCTGTTATTTTATATGACATATTTGTATTAACATAATATGTTGCAATCAAGTGTACCTTTTGTCGCATGCTGGAGTTGCGTATTGAGGTAAATATTGTAATAAAGGCATACATTGAGAAAAATGTATTACATTTTAATAAATACTATTTGAATAGTAGTAATTGAACATTCACTTACAGTAAATAATTATTTACTTAATAAAAACATCGTAATTAAATTAAATTAATGGCTTTGTTTTATTTAAAATTTATTAATTTTTTTCCAGCGTAACACTTGAAATTAATAAAATTGGAATTTTATTTTAAAATAAAATCATATTCGATAAGTTTTACGTACAGTTTCGTCAGTATAATGTGACTAAATAGATTTTAAATACATTAATCGTAAATTATGATATTTTTATACAATTTTAATATTTTTAATTTAACAATATCAATGTATCATTCTTTCGTCACGCTTATTCCTTTTAAATGTATATAGAGAAACAGAAGTTTTCAAGAATTGTCCATTAACAAATTTTTACCTTGTAAGGTTCAAACGCATTCAGGAATGCGGTGCATATATCGGGAATGCACCTTCAAGAAATCATAGGATGGCGACGATAATAATACTTTTCAAGTAGCCCCGTGTGATTTTTTAACGCGCGATGCGGTGTTATCCTGTAACATACATTATACATTCCTCACGCCGAATAAACTACTGATACTCGTGTGCTCGCGAAAAAAAAAACCCGTTGAACCGATTGGCATATCATTTGAAAGGAAAATCACTTCTTGGTTCCGCTCGCATGTAAGCGAACGTGCAAATGCCGGGTGCGAAATTTATTACTGCAAACTAGAAAACAAGTAGCCATTCGCTTTGAACTCGCTAATGTTTGTTAACTGCGTTTTTATCTACAAGATTGATTGACAATCAAGATTGATTGAGTTGTACACATGTGAGAGACGTTCTGTAATTTGCGACAAAAAACATTGAAAAAAATTTCGTGTCAATTCAGAATCATGGGATGTATATGATTTGCAGCGATGATTTATTAGACTGACGCTTCAATACTACATATGTTATTGATAATATTTGTATACACAGAGTGTGTATAATTTAATTTTTAATGATTAAACTAGTTTGAATTTGAATTTATCTTTCAACTGAAATATCAAAGTGTCAATAGATTCCAAGTTTAATCAATTATTCGATAAGCACTCTTTGAAGATCTGTCGACTGCGAATTGACGTAAATCGGTACAGATGCGTGTTGCGTTTTGTAGAAATTAACCATCCGCGGTTGATTCCTCCGCAGTGCCGTTCGTTAGTTTCTCGGTATCTTGTTGTCCTCTCTTTACAGATATACGCACACGATGCACGTCTTTGAACGTTAGGAATAGATTTAGGAAGAGACGCGAGCTATGCGACGGGTCGGTCGTTGCCAAGTCGACTTGCACATGAATGAGTTAACTGCATGTGCGTACACGTGCTGCGCTAATTTATCGTGCCGACGGTGAATATAGCGAAGTTGGAGGATGGAGAGAGAAGAACCTGCTCTACCCTGCCGGTAGTGAGACGTTACGGCCGTTCACGAATTTGTTAATCTTTCTTATCCAGGAAAACCGCCATTCAAAGCACGACGTTCTTAACGTAATGCCGGTATCACACTAGCGATTGGAGATTATTGGCCTGTTTTCCGTTTCTACACTAAACTGCACTAGAACTCTCTTTCTCGCTTTCAATAAATGTCAAACATATGCCTGTTTCACTTCAAGTTCCAAAAGTGTATACTAGTTGAATCACAAAAAAACAAGTGCTGCTGGCCAGCAATCTTTTTTGATTGGTCAACAGACGCAAACGTGAACGCAGTCGAATCTTCAATCTCTAGTGTGATACCGGCATAAAGCCCTAATCACACTATAGACTCCCGATTCTGACTCCCGACTCCAGACTCCAGACTCCAATCGAATAAAGTGATTTCTATTCTCGAGTCGGTAGTCAGAGTCGGTTGCTGCCTTGCTGTGGTTGAATTATAGTCGGGAATCCGAGTCGAGTCAGAGTCGGGAACAGGGTTGAGAAATTTAGCGCTGCAAGAGGTTTCCTACATTTCCTACGTATAAAATGTAAGTATAATACGTATATAAAACATGTATTAAACCCATTTCTCATAAAATATAGGTTATAGCACAGCACTGATAAGGTTGATAGCACATTTTGATGCTCAACGGGTCTGTATTTCTACTCTACGTCTCTAGACATCATTTATATGCGTAGTGCGATAGGCTTAAAAACTTTAATAAGGTTAAGCGCCGTAAACACGCGTCTAAAGTATCATTTATTAAAAATATATATAAAATAATGTAAGTAAAATAAGTAAATTAAATCATAGCTAAATAAAACTATAACCTATCCAAATTAATTGTTAGGTATTAACAACTTTTTTCTATTTTTCTATAGATTTGGAAATGAGCACAGATAAAGTAAAACGTTCTCATTCACATGATATTGATTTGGCGTTAGCCAAATATCATAGTCATAGACTAAACAATTTGATTGTTGACATTAATCATTATTGCACATGTGCAATATGCACATAGCATAGGTGAATAGGTCAGCTTATAAATTTTCACTGACTATGTTTCCACCGAGAGTTAAAGTTGGGTTAGAGTACAAGAACCGACCAACTATAGGCCTGTATTCCCATCTTACAGTCGAATGAGAGAGGAATGCTCGAAACTTAGTCACTTTTTCTAGTTCACTCTGTGAAGCGCCATTTTACTACATAGCTGAAACCCACGATGTATTATACATAGTTTCATCCATGTATGAAATCACGTATAATACGTTGAGTTTGATACATGTCCAACCCTAGTCGGGAACCAGTAGTGTGATTATAGGCCTGTTCTTTTTGCCTGCACTGTCTGAACTGGTACATACAGTGCAATAAGTTGAAATGAAACAAACGTGTATCTGTTTCACTTCAACTTATTGCACTCTGTGTACCAGTTCGGTAAAAAGAATAGGCCTTAAGGTGCTTTTTCATGCGCAGCACGCTGCAGCAGCAATTCATTACTATTGGTTAAGAATTTTATGTAAGCTAGATGACGCACTTCCGGCGCAAAATACATTTTGCCGCAGTTCGTTGAAGTTGAACCGAACGAACAGCAAGCAGCAAGCGGCAAAATCGAGGTAATATTATTTATTGCAATAAATATTAGGAAAATTAACGAAGAATGGCTTCGGATAAGGTACGAATGTTTGTAAATTAGATCATTTTATACTTTACACTTTACTTTTTCAAATTTGTGGTAAAGTATAAAATGATCTAATTTACAAACATGTATCCGTACCTTATCCGAAGCCATTTTTCGTTTATTTTCCTAATATTTATTGCAATAAATAATATTTTTATAATGAAACGACGGACATATTGTACGCTTTCTCGATTTTGCCACTTGCTGCTTGCTGTTCGTTCGGTTCAACTTCAACGAACTGCGGCAAAATATATTTGCGCCGGAAGTACGTCATCTAGCTTACATAAAATTCTTAACCAATAGTAACGAATTGCTGCTGCAGCGTGCTGCGCATGAAAAAGTACCTTTATGGCTCAAGATATTCTCGCATAAAGGCCCATTTACATCTATCGTAATGTCTATTGTGGGTATATTCCGAACTGGGTTAGTTTAGCTTGTTTTTTTTCCTAGATATTGGCAGCTCCATAAAGCCGTAATCACACTACAAGCAGTACAGGCTTCTGACTCGGACTCCTGACTATAATTCAACCAATCACAGCAAGGCAGCCGACTCTGACTGCTGACTCGAAAATAGAACTCTATTCGATCGACTCTGAGTCAAGAATCGGGAGTCTGTAGTCTGATTACGGCTTTACGATAGATGTAACTGGGTCTTAATATTCTACAGGGATTACTTGCAAAATGATTCTCTATTAATCGGGAATCGGGAGTCAAAATCGGGAGCCTGTAGTGTGATTACGGCTTTAAATAACCTAATATTTGCACTTTGATACCTACAATAATCATTGGACTATTTATGTCACAATGCAAATAAAAATCATTTATATTAAACAATATAATGAGAAAATATCGTTATTCTTATTTCAAAATTGGTTTTCTCGTAAACAAAATTTCATATAACAAATTATATTCTATATATTTGAGTGCTACTCGTTGTCAGTATGTAATATGTCACATTCTTGATTGTACCTTTTTAGTAATTATTTGTAATATTTGTATAAATACTACAAATAACATAATATTATATATAAATTAAAATTCGGTGTCAAGTGAATTATCGAAATAATTTCCAATATATTCTGTACAAGAAATAAGTTGTTGACGAAAGGATTGACCCGCTCGAAGCCATCACCACTTCAGAAAATATCTGCTAATCTTAGGCGAAAGCGTGGCCATTCAAGCTCGAGCATAGAATAGAATGGCAAGCCGAGAGCTTTGTCGTCTGCATCTGTGGAATCTCAGGAATTATAGTGGCTCTTGTGAATGTGCCTATATTCAGAATGAAAGTTTCGGGATGATACAATAAAGTCACTGCAATAAAATTTTGACTTCTACAGTATCAGAATTAATGCTCCGACAATTTATCAAACGATGTATATCCCTCGGTTGTTCATTTATTTAAACGTAATACATAAAGTTTAAACGTTTCTTATTTCTAATAAAATATCTTGTTGATATTTTCTAAGCACATTTATATATCTGTATACCTTTTTTATTTGAATTAAAGAACTTATTTTTAAATCGTTTTAAACTAGTAATTTTAAAAAAGTGAATATTACGAATATCACAAAATAATGAAGATCTTTTCTGAGCTTTCTAAGATAAATAATAATCTTTTATTATTTATCTTAGAAAGCTCCGATTTATTTCTTAAAAATATAAACTGATAAACTTTCTAATTATCACTTAATATTTTAAACAAAGCCATTTTAATGATGTTGCAGAAGAAGAACCATTGGAGAACAACAGAATGAGCCTTTCAACACATTTCCGAGATACTTCTGTGGTCTCCAATACACGAGTCATGCCGTCTTCGACTGGATCAACCTCTGTTCAGCTGACTGCGCTTCATTCCATGTCTCACCATCCTCATCCTCACCATCATTCACAACCACAGCAGCAGCAACAGCAACAGCAGCCGCAACAGCAACAACACCATCAGCAACAGCAGCAACATCATCAGCAACATCATCATCATAGCGATAATCATAATACACATAATCATTATATGGAGAATCACAATCCAAATCAATCTCAGCAAAATGTGGGCAACCTCGTTATTGACGAAACGAGCCACGACAATAAAAAGCACCGAACTGGGTAAGTTTGCTTATATAAATTTCTATATATTTCTCTTTGCGTTATTTTTGCGTCCTCTTTTAGAGGTATCGTATAAGCCCAGACTATTTTCCGTTTCAACATTTAGCGGTACGAATTTTGTTTATAATAATTTTGTTTTTAGTTGTATCACGGACTAATCCCAGTTACGCAAAAATTAAACTAAGAATTAAAAATTAGACCGAGGATCAAGCTAGGAAAAGGTTTTGTTAATCTATTTATTTGTTGCATCGTATCTTATCAATACCTGTTACATTCGAATTCATTGAATTCTAAAATGGATTCGATAATATGTGTCTATGATGGACGCATACTTACGCGGCGACACCGACACATTCCATCGCGAGTCGATACGTCAGCCTGTTGCTTCGCGCGTTCTCGCCTCATCTTCTCTTCTCTCCGCTCCTCTCCGTGCACGAGCGACGCCGTCGCCGATGTTACAGGCGGCTATACCTATTTACGCCGTGCACGTGTCCAGGGTGAATGGCACGTGCACGATGCGTCGCTCAGCGCGTTGCATTGCACGACGATAACGCGTGGCGCAGCGTTACGCGATCGCGTTGCATATTACGGAAAGGACGAAATTTTGCTCAAGTATTTAAATATCTAACTAGATAGAGATATGAAAATGATTTTGTTGGACCATCAAAATAATTACGTAGGAATCTTGTGTTCTAACATTCTACCTGGTCCAATAAAATAATTTTCAGGTCTGTATCTAGCTAAAATTTTTAATAATTTAACGAAACCGTCCTTTCCGCGGAGAACACGTATAGAAAAGTAGATCCGCAAAATATGGCTATCCTAAATTCATAAATTTAAGAATCAGAAGGAGATAGAGAAATAATTATTCTTTTATTTATTCGTATTTATGTATTGTTTTATAATTTATATTTTCTTATTATAGAGCGTGTGTAGTTCGATCTGGTACTAGGGAAGTACACAATAAGCTGGAAAAGAATCGGAGAGCGCATCTGAAGGAGTGTTTTGAACTTTTAAAGAGGCAGCTACCATCGCAAGACGAAAAAAAGTCTTCGAATCTCTCTATTCTCCATGCAGCGAACAAATACATACAGGCAAGTTTTAGCCCGTTATGTAAAATACACTATTTATAGCGTATTCCATGTTTCCATTCTATTTTGCTGTTGTCACAAGACATTGCACGATAAGCCATGATCTCTCGAGCAATCACCAACGCCAGACAACGTGAAGAAAAGATATTCAGAAGCTGCGTCTTCCATCAGTTCTATCACACATTCGTAATGTCTCGTGAAAAACTTCTCCTTGTCTTGCGCTCTGTTTTTTTAATCTTTCCCCTCTCGGGGATTCGCATCCCCACCTCTGTACCGTAAATCCCTGCCGATCGCTCCCTCCCTTCTCTCTCGCGTATATCGTATCTCTGCGTGCATTGCATTTTTTTACAAGACGGATTACCTATATCGACTCCACGTGACCGTACGGCCATCGGTGTCACGCCGCACGGCACGTACATACAGCGCGCATTACTCTCCAGACTTTTATCGTCCAATGTCGACGACTATTACGCACGATGCATCTCGTTAGGACATCAAAAACGGCGGAGGCATCAACACTAAAACTGTCTAAACATAAATCTTGTGTTGAAAACAGATTTAATCCGTTATCTTATTGATTGATGGCACAATCGGGAAAAAAGCTAATTCCACATGAAAGAAAATATAGAAACATCTCTTTAATGAATAATTATTAATAAATAATTATTTGAATGCTTTTTTAAAACGTTACAAATATTCTGGATTTTTTAATAAATAATTTTAATGGTTTAATAAATATGTTACTGTGATATACATATACTTATGTCGAGGAGACAAAAAGAAGTTTGTTACGTAACAGGCAATATTTAAAAAAGAAAGATTTTAATAATGAAAAATGTTTCTTATGCGTTTCTTAGGCATTGCGAAAAAGAGAACGAGATTATGAACATGAGATGGAGAGACTCGCGAGAGAAAAAATTGCGGCTCAACAGAGATTAGTTGCATTAAAGAAAGAACTTCATGCAACTTGGGATCATATCGACATCAATTCTCTTTTGCTGGAACAGATTCCTGGGGCGGATGTGACAGCCGTCAAAAATGGTGAGATACATTTGTAATTAAAACGATAAATTTTATCATATCGAAGAGATTGTTTTTTTGATCTCATAATGGAAGAATTTTTTAGTTAAAGCTCCTTTATTTTACAAGCAGATTTATTTCATCCTCTTTTAGCTGTAACTTAAAAGCAATTAAATAAACATGCGTGGAAATTTTATTTTGGAAAAAATTCTATAAATTTATTCATAATATTTTGTATGTTATTTTTTCTGAATATATATATATATATATATTCCATTTATTTATTCTCGTTTGAGAAAAAAATTTCTCTGTTTTTGTTGTATGTCTATCTAATTTTTCTTTATTTTATGACATAAAGTTTATTAACGTTTTATCAACGTTTTTTATCTAACTAGCTTTTTTCTGCGCGCGCTACGCGCGCGATTCAGAATTATTGGAGATACACAAACAAATCTGGAAAAGACCAAACTGGTTTATTAATCCCCCTAAAATTACAACGTAGGTTCTTTCTTTACTTAATTTTTTAAAAAATTTAAGCATTTATACATCCTTAAAATTTTTTTCCGGATTTGTCTAATTTATGAGATTATTATTTGTTTTTTCCTTTTTTTCCGTTAGTTTTAATTAACTGTCTTCATTTTAAATTACTGATTTTCGTAATTTTTTAATTTTTTTATTTTTCCCCGCTTCTTGAAATAGTCATGAAGATGATGATTTTCGTCTTCTTTTAATCTTATTCAGTTGTTCTTCGTTTTTTTTGATATTTTTCATTCGTATTTTTTCGAAAAAATCATTAATTTAGTAAAATGAATTCTCAAGCAATCGATACGAACTCGAAAAATAATCACTTGGGGGATGTTACAATCTTTTTTTGTGTATAACTTTTTTTTGGAGGGTGGACAAATGAAAATAACGGGTGGACAAACGTGGACAAACAGTGGACAAACGAATGTAATAATGATATTACCAATATTCGCATTTACAAATTCCAACTTTACAGAGCTGCTTTGTGAAGTTGACACCTTAAATGTGAATATTGGTAAAATCAGTATTGCATTCGTTTGTCCACTGTTTGTCCACGTTTGTCCACCCGTTATTTTCATTTGTCCACCCTCCAAAAAAAGTTATGCATAAAAAAAAATTGTAACACCCCGAAGTGATTATTTTACATTATTACGAAAAATATAATAAAAATAGGGTGGACAAATGAAAATAATAGGTGGACAATCACGTGCGCGTTGTGGACAAACGATACCCGTACATAATTATGAAAAATTATCACTTGGGGATGTTACAATTTTTTTTTGTGTATAACCTTTTTTTGCGGGGTGGACCAAAGAAAATAACGGGTGAACAAACGTGGACAAATAGTGGACAAACGAATGCAGTAATGATATTACCAATATTCGCATTTAGGAGTACCAACTTCACAGAGCGCTACGCGCGCGATTCTTTTTATTTTGAACGACCATATAATTTTCTCTTACAAAATTTACACCAAAGCATAGTCGATTAAGCTTTAAATTATAATTACATTTCTTTGCGTCTTATTAAATTCGTCATATTCGGAAAATCTTATTGATTTCCGCAACATTTCCATCTGCCATATTGAATTTAAAAATTTGGAACACGGAATCAAAATCAGCGTTCGCGGTAACCTCCATTTACCTAATTTCGCTGAAATTTTTAAATTTTTATGTATTTTGCAACACTTTCGTCCGCCATTTTGGATTAACCATTTGGAATTTCCTAATTTTGATCACAGATTCGAAATCAGCGTCCGCGTAAGCCCCCTTAATTCAAATTTCGCCGAAATTTTTAAATTTTTATGTATTTCGCAACACTTTCCGTCCGCCATTTTGGATCAGCCATTTGGATTTTCCTAATTTTGATCACGGATTCGAAATCAGCGTCCGCGTAAGCCCCCTTAATCCAAATTTCGCCGAAATCGGAAAACCTTTAAGATTTTCGCATCTTTTCCGTCCGCCATATTGGATAAGTCTTTTTTAATTATTATAATTTTTACCATGTTTTTAAAAGAGCGTTCCCGAAAATTCCTTGTTACTAAAATTCACCATTTTCGGATTACTTTAACTGCCTCAACGAATAGAGGCTTCAAAAAAGCGTGACACGCCAATTTTAAGAAATGATAAAAATCTTTTTAACAAATTTTAGAAAATACAGAGGTTGACATTACTGGATTATCACGGGGTGGCACGAGGTATAGCAGCACGAGCAGTCTAAACAGTGTGACAACGGCCAGTTCCCCGCAAGCATTACAATCCACTAGCACGACTTCCAATATTCATAGTCAAGCCCCGACCGCGGGTGTCGTTTGCCAAACGCAGGATCTGAATCTTGCACGAAGTTCCAGAGAGAGTCCACCTGCAAGTTCGACTACTGGAACGACATCCGCATCCAGCATTTCTACTCCAGCGCAAGTATGTTCCATTCTAAATAAAATAATGAAGTTATTTTTGCATCATATCTAAGGCGAGATCATAAATATCGTGATTTTGCAATAAATTGATGCTAGAGCAAGATATCACGCATTTGCAGAGCCGCTTACAGACTATTACTGGAAACGGCTTTGAAAATGCGCGACATGCCTTTATGTCATATTGTGTTTGTCGTGTAAATTTGGTACTTATGATGACACCATCCATGCTCTCGAAGCAAGTTTGTCCCTTCGTGTTTATTCAGCTCTTTGTTTCGCCTGGATTCGTCGAACGCGTGTATGAAAATTCATATAGCGCACATCAAATTTAAATTTGCTAAAACGTATGTAAATATATTTATAGATTTATTAGATTAAAATTATTAAAGATTGATATTTAGAAAGCCAGACGAAATTGGCATTTTTATTTCAGGAGAAAATCGCTACGTCGTCCACCACCAGTATAGTTCAGCAGCCGCATCAATTGCATCTGCCGATCAGTGCTCAGATGTTGAACACGAGTCAGGGTCTTGCGACTATCGTACCAGCCCTGCAACACATCGGGCCAGGACTCAGGGTAATACCGGGTGATACGCGGCAGCTCTTAGTCACCCACACTACTGGCAACAATGAATCTAGGCCTTTGACATTGGCGGTGCAGAATTCTTCGGATCAATCTCGGTCACCGTTGATCGCAGTGCAATCAAACAGTGGAAACGAGCCAAGACCCGTAGCGCTGGTCGTTCACTCATCCACCGCCAACGACAACAGAGTAACATTTGTGCACTCTAATCTGTCCAATAACGATAGGCCGCTAGCCCTGGCCGTACAGTCGTCTGCGAATGATGTTAGACCCGTCACTTTTGTGCATTCGGGGAATGAGGGTCGATCGTTGGTCCTTGCTACGCATTCGCCCGCGTTGAATGTATCGAGTGAGTATATACTTTATAGATAGATTTAATACAAATCTGATCGTAAAATCCACGTGCACGATACTTTTTTCGGATTTTTCTACGATTCGAAGATTTCATAAGATGATGTTTATTTCTTATTTTCCATGAAAAGTGCTTAGATTTTTTTAAATACAACTGGTTCGTCGTGTTGTAGACGCTCAGACGAGAATAAGAACGGGAGATGCGCAGAACACGCATAAGATGGTTGGTGGTGTAACACTTGTTGGCGGAAATGGTTCAGAATTGGCAAGACTTCCCGGTGGTGCGGAATTGAATATACTTCCAGCAAATGGTGTGTATGACAACTCGTGTTCTAGTTCTATAGCTATTCGGATAATCATTCTCTTGCTATGAGTTACCGCATACATGTTAAAATGTTAAAATGGTGCGGCAAAAAAAGCTTGATATATTTATTATTTTGTGGTTGCAGGATTAACTTTAAGTCATGGAGTGTCACTTCAAACGGCTACGGGCAAGCCAACCTCGACAATGATGCAAAATTCTCCATCTACAGAGAGTATAGCTCACATTGTCGGCCAGCATACGCCCCTCTCCGGTCTGACTCCAATTGTCACGCCGATGACTGTCGTCTCCCAAGGTAATCAGGTGACTGCTCACATCTTAGCGCCATCGAGTCTCGCAGGGAAGATGATCACCACTCCCATCCTCAAGTCCGTGGGACAAATGCCGCTTGTAAACGCTCAGTATCTTAACACCACGACTTTAGTGAAACCGGTCGTCGTGGTGAGCTCACCGTCAACGTCGACAGCACCCTCAACGACGGCGGCGACAGCTTCCAGTACACAACCCTCTTCGACCTCAAATTCGACTGTCTGACAGAATCAAGGGAAAGCAAAATTAATCTGATTGCGCTGGAATATCAAAATACAGTTTGCTGGTGTTGCGAGTAAATCTTAATTCTATGTTTGTCTAAAGTAAATCTATCTTTTGTTATTTGTTGGAATCGCTTAGATATGTTAGTGATGAATTAGCGAGAATGTGAGCGATTTAAATTTGAAATATTTTACGACAGGCAGTAAATATCGTGAAAGAATCAGAGATTCTTTCGGGTGAGATAAATTTTTGATCTATTGTTCTTTTTCTAACATCAAAATGGTCTTGCATTTTAAAACATCATTTGTGTCCCATAAAGATTGACATTTGAGATATAAGCTCTTCCGAAGAATAAATCGACTGAAAAAGTGTGAAAAAAGTCCTTGCTCAACATATGCGGTATTGTACATGGTACCTTGATTTTATTAAAGGAGATAGTTTATTGTATGTGCATAAATTAAATGTAAAGTTCAAACAAATTAATTTACGACTGTAGTCAAGTCCGAGTGTCAAGAATGAGAAAGCTTTCATGTTAATATGTTGGTAAATGAAGACTTTTAAAATTTTTAAGGCTATACCGGTATCATATGTTATTCGGATCATTGTTTCGTCATATTCTCGATTGGGAATTCTTTCGTTATGCTTGCTTTGATAAGTGACTTTTTTTTAAGTGTTTTATGTTATTTCAGGTATTCTAAACATTTTTTCTATAAACGAAACGAGAAATAAGCTTTGACTTGCAATAAAACAAATTTTACTTTTTGCATAACTTTTAAATTGCTTGACTGTGTTTTGTGAGATCTATAAATTGACAAGTTTCATTATATCTTATTGCAATTGAAAAAGTGTCATAAAAAAAATGATAATAACGGTACTCTTAGTATCAAATATTAAGGAAAAAGCTCTGGAAGATTTTGAATTTAATTATTTTTTATTAGCGAGCGGAAGTGGAAAATTATGATAAGTTTTTGTGTCTTAAAATTTATCAAACGGCTGTGGAGAACGGATACTGAACTCTATATAGAGGTCTGTCTGTTTTGACAATTGAATCACAGGATGTATTAAATCTTGTTAAATCGATAAAAGCGAATAAATGCATTATTAGAAACTAGCAACAGATTATATATAGGTTTGTAATAATACATATTAAGTATTTATTCCTCTGTATTTATTATATGTTTATATGCGTAATATACAAATCGCTATCGCGCTTTTCACGAACGCATAATTGCAACGCGCTACGAACATATTAATTTCTTTATGTTCAGATTTTGTCATATGGAAAGATTTAGAAACGTATATTTTAAATCGCCGTCATCATTGTCTCGTGAAATGCGTGTGCATTGTAACATTTCATGCTTTTATATATTATATTCATTTCTGTAATGTAATTCTTGCATAACAATCGAAAATGTGGCTCGAGTAGAATAGAAGGAAACGATAATGCTCACAACTATTTGAGAAGTTAGACCGATTGCACGCATTTATTAAACTTATTGCACTATTTTTCGTTATTTTCTGTGTATGAGAATTGTCCGATAAATAAGGTATAAATCGAAATTACATCAAACTTTACGATGACTATGTGAAAAAATAACAATTTTTATGCAGTTCTTGTATTTTTTTTTATTTTTTTAAATACAAATTTTAATTTAAGTAAAGGAAGATATAGATTTATAATCTGAAATTTTATTACAATTTCTGAATTTTGTACGAGATTTATTAGAGAAAGTTAAATAGTGATGAAGTTATATTATAAAATGGAAGATTTATAGAATAAAAAATCCATATTTCAGTTTTAACATAATTTTGACCTTATTTATCGAAAGATTCTTTGTACGCTTGTTCACTCCTGTAAAATCATACTGTACGCTTCTGTTTGGTATTTCAGTGATAAGATCGTCAACTGAAACAATAAACTCGTTTGAGATACTTATCATGTAAAATCACTATGCAACAATTGATATTCTTAATGCGCATGATGTTTATACAACGAAATATCTTTGCGATGTAATTCAACGCGTAATGTGTAACCCTGCTTTTTCGATCGTTGTATAATTGTTGACGGTCTTTTTCTCTTTCGGATGCCAGAGCCTTTGTGCATATTATTAATACTACTATCCTTTACATATCCGCGTACAAACTTGTTTTGTATCCTTTAAATTATTTAATCGTGAATAATATGATTAGTGATTCGAGTTAAGATGTAAATGCGTGCCTTAAGGGGCTACAAAATCACATAAACATATTTTGATTGACATTGTTCGACGTTTAAGGCAGACAGATACTTTGCGCTAACTCGATAGAAATTTGATATAAGAAAAGTTCTTCATGCTGTAGATTATACAATTTGTTTATGTTACTGAATTTATTGTATAGACTTCCTTTTTTCTTTTTCAAATCTTAAGTCGTTATACTCTATAAATACACGAATCTCCCAAATTTTCATTTAATCTCGATGCCACTGGCGTCTCAATGAGAAAAAGAGGAGAAAGTTAATCAGTTAAATTAATATGTTTATAAAATTAATTGTCCATCGTCGTATTACGCGCTTCTTAGTGTTTGGGACGTAACAAAAAAATTCAATTTGCAATAAAGCGACGAGAAACCGAACGAAAACCCGGTTCGAGGTACTAGTCAAAAATAAAGTTTTGTTGAATTATTTTCAATGCAAACGTTTTCATTCGACGAAACCTCAAGTCGTGCAATGAATACAAATGATTATATTACATGTCCTGTGACACACACGCAAAAAATACAAAGCTGTGAGCGGGACTAGAATAGAGAAAAGTAGGAAAAAGAAATGTCATTGATTGTGAAATATCGCTTCTGCGATATTCTGCAGTCGACTGTTTAGCCGCGACTGAGACCCTTATCGGTAACTATTTAAGCGATGTAATAGCCTCATGTAAATAATAATTTCGTTAGAGCGAAGATAACCAAACGGGTTGAGACGGAAGGAAACTACGACGGATGGAAACTAAAGATAGTATAGCACTGAGCACTCAAGCTAAATGAATAATGTGAACAATGTGATATAAATGATAAATAAAAGATTAATTAGCACAGTAGTGTTTAAGGAGAAAAAAATCAACTATTAAATCATTTACAGTGTAGATAGATGCTGGTAACTATCATTTACTAATACCTTTAAAAAAAAATGAGAGAGAGAAGGTCAAAAAAATTAAATTGTACATAGAAAATATGAAGAAGAGAAAAAGGACGGGAAGGGGAGAAAGGGGGAGAGAGAGAGAGAGAGAGAGAGAAAGGAATTGTAAGATAGTGTATAAATAATGAATTTACTGAGAAAGGGAAATGGGGGGGGGGGGAGGGAAGGAAAGAAAGAAAAAACGAATACAACGTGATGGACTGTGCCGGATGAAACACTTGTCATGTTGGTAATAAAGATCGCCGACACCGCGAGTATCCTATAAATAACAGAATCTACAAACTGTATTAGAACGGCAACGTATTAGAATGGTGGAATAAGTATGCGTGAGACTGCGTGTTGGAAGTACGCATGTGAGAAAAGTGTGTAGTAAAAAACGTTATTATTGTTGTAGTCTATATCGAATTTTGTTATATGCCTCGACTAGCATGCAAAAAAACGCATGATACGTCTTACGACGTGGTTTGTTGTGCATAAAGAAGGAGTAAGGTGAAACAAAAATGAATGCTATGCTTGTGTGTGAGCGAAAAAGAGAGTAACAGGGAAAAGAGCGTGAAATGGATGATAAGAGAGAACAATCACCGAAGAGATTCGGTCTCTTCGCGACAGTTTTTGTTAAAAGAAGGAAAGTGTGCGATGAAATTCAGAGTACAGTCTATTACAATAAAGATTAAAAATGTGAGTGTGACAGTTGCCCAATTCTCCTTGCAGTTGTCTAGTATTCACGCCGAATACACCGATTCGAGACTCTCGATCGATGTCCGCGATATCCGGAGTAATGATAATGATTGTAGAGTTCATTTTGTTGCGAAGTGAAGTTTTTCGAACGAATTTCGTAACATGAGATATCTAAAATTGAAAGTAATATAACACCAATGCTATAATTTTACACTCAACAATATAAGTTATATAACTTACAATGTGTTACTTTTAGTTCTTATCGATTGGGTTATTTATAGCTTAAGTACGAATCTACAATAGGTGTGTGTTAATCCTTAAGCTATAAGAAATTGATCAATTACAGTCGAGGAGAGAATAATTGACTGTGATTCGTCCATTTCTTATGGCTTAAGGTTTAAAAAGTACTCTATTATAGATCCGAGCTAAAGTCTTATTAAAGCAGCCTCGTAAAAGAGAAAATTGCGTTAACTATTATACGGAATATTTTTACAGAATATAAATTTAAGATTTGAGTAAGCCGCGAGTTCTTCGATTTACGGGACGATAAACTTTGAAAATCAGTGCCAGAGGAGTTAATATAAAAAATCGAATCGAGAGTAACGAGTTTGGTGGATGCCATTGTGCGCTTCTACCATATATACGAGATAAATAGCGATCGAAAGATTTCAAAGGGAGAAATTTGTAGTAGCGATCTATATACCTCCTCTTCAAATTGTGAGATAGCAATCGTGTGAAATTGATGCGGGGAGCCGAGTTTCTAGACTACGATTGCATCCGCATTTGGTCTGTCCGCTTGTCAGTCGAGCAAGCGAATTATCCTCGAACTCGAAGGCAGATCGGACCGAGTGCGAAAATCAAAATTGGATCTGCCTTTTCTAATGGCTAGTGTTTAGAGATTAATGGCATGTTCAGATGCGACGCCGGCGCGAACGCTCCATCACATTGGCCTGTTGATTCCTCAGAGAAATCGGACGAGAAAATATTCTAAACGTATATTGTATATAGATATCATTCAAAATTGCAACTTGCACACAATCTCAGAATCTAAACAGATTTTTCCATTTATTTACAGTTATCTGCTTTATTTTAGGATGATGTCCACAGAACACAAATTAACAGCAACATCACATCAATATTACTCACATAATTTCCCGCAGCTGGTAATTAACAATTTAAATGTAATCTAACACACATGTTGTACATAACAGTTGCATTGTTGAGTAGAAAATTATAACACTGATGTAATATGTGCTACTGTTAGTTATTGTATTTTGCGGATTAATTATTAATAGAATTACTTGATATTTCTGAATTTGTTTTCATTATAATTGTATTGTACAAATATC